GCTGGAGCGGTTGGAGGAGGGGGAAGGGTCGGGGCCATACTTTCCGTCGCTACTCGAACTCAAACGGTGGGGGCGCTGGTCGAGGGTCGTTGGGAATCTTTAAATTTATATATAATAGGAGTTTCACGACCAGTTTAACGTGAAGTGGCGTAGAACTTCGTGTAAATTTTAGATGTGTAGGCCCTTGCTATCGATAACACAATTCTTTTACGCGAAGTGAAATATGAAATATGCTTTTTATTAGTGTTTTTTATATCGCTAGGGTGAAATTTCAACGTTGGATCTCTGATAAATCTATTCTCCGGTTTAAGTGTTTATAATCTCTGTCGAGCTGTGGTTCGCAATATATTGACTCTCGTCAAAATGCATATGGGACTTCCTCTGCACTTGTGTGATTAAAGTGTATTCAGATTTTCCAAACTCTTCCATTCGGAGTTTCAGCTGGAGCAGATGAGTGTAGAGCAGCTGCGGGCAATATGTGCCATGTTGGGATTGCGACCGTAGGTTCATGTGCTTCGCTCCGCTGTGAAATGTGTACTTTTTGGAGTAGGTATGCATTCAAATCGCATATAGTGTTGCAGCTGCGACATTATGTTACGCGACTAAGGTGAGGTATCTTGAGGTTGAGCGTGTAAGATACGGAATAGGTCAGCTTTTGGTGAATCTTTCAGGTCGGAGGATCGCGATATTCTCTGGGAAGGAGTGAATAACCTGAGCCACGCGGAGCTAGCTGAGGCTAACCGTATGCGCGGTATGCCCTACGTGAATGTTGATGATGACAGGTGGTCATACAGAGCAGTAGAGGAAAGCAGTACTCTTGTATAGGTTGAGAGCACAGCTGTCCTCGTGGCTTGAAGTATCCTCTAATAAGGATATACCAGTGTCGTTGTTGTTGTGGTCTCGAACGTTCTTTATGGCACAGCAGCCAGGGACGGAGAGGGAGAGGCTCGTCAGCGAGCTGAATAATACGTAAGTCGGTCGGTCTGTTTTTGTGGTAGATTTTTTCTCCCTCAACGTCGAATTTCGAAATCCAATTATATCACTCAAGTTGTATGTAAACCTATTTTGAATAATTATATTTTTCTACCGCAAACTGCAATTGGAGTTTCATCAGTGATATGAGAAACACTAGCGTAGAATATATTTCCCGACTACTGCATATCACCGCGAATATCGCGTTTTTCACAGAGTATCACGCCACCTGACGTAAAACCCGTTTTACGTGCTTACTACTATTACCTACTTTTTTTCTAAGTCGTATAACTCAAATTTTAACTATTTTATCAATTAGTATAAATACTTCTTCAAACAGTGGTTGAGTTGATTCGATAAATTTTCGTATAATATTCTCCTTTCGTTTTGGTAGGCTGACCATGGCTACGGCAGCAGCAGAGAGAGCAAAGGAGCAGATGAAAAAGGAAGCAATGTAGGCATTTGGTGAATGCCAGCGGTTGGGAATATCCTTTTAGGTTACAGCAGACTTCTGCACACACTGTTAGTAAAGAAGATAAGACTGTTGCATCTGCTGTTGCTAGCCCTCCTGAGACCTCTGAGTCGTTATTGAGGCGGGAGGGTGAGCGGAGAAAGGATGCGGCGGAGACATCAGCTAAGCGGCTTGAGGAGCTCGAGCGAGAGGCGAGGTAGGAGGGAGTCCGCTCTTGGGAGGTTATGATTAGTTTTCATGTGTTGTTAATAGTATATTGGAGTTTCACAGGCTGTGAAATAAAATATATTCCACCGCGAATATCGGGTTTTTTTCACAGAGTATTACGCCAATTCACGGGAAACGAGTGAAACTCTAATATAATATGAATTTTCGGTGATGCTAAAATGAATGAAAACATGAGTTTGTGTATTACGCAGTTTTGGTATTCTTGTTACCTTGAGAGTTGTTGATGATGATGTTGGTTTTTGTCAGACAAATTGCAGAGGAGCAAGCGAGTCGAAAGAAGGTAGGTTGGAGAATATGCACATGGAAATTTTGGTAAATTTTTCGTTGATTTCTGTACATTTCTACCCGAATTCCTCTGAGTAGCTTTGGAAACTCTGAGAAAAACGAACATATATTCCTCCAAAATTGAGGTCGTCAAGTAAGGGAAGTGAATGTACGTGTCAGGCTGCTGCTACTGCTGAGGGTGCGGTTATGACTGAGGCCACTGGTGTTGATACTGTTAATGATATTGTTAGAAGTGATAATATTCCCGGTTCGGAAGTCCTCCAGGACCCAGCGGCGAGTGGTATGACATTTAGTTGGAAATGTTGGTGATATGCATGTTGTTGTTATCACCAGAAAGTGTATCGACGCCTGTGAGCGAATATTCTGAGGTGGATAGTGAGGACGAGAGGCTGGACAGGGATGAGCTTCTGAGGAAGATACATAGGCTGGAGGAGGAACTAGGTAGGAGAGGGTTACATGGGGTATTGATGTGGATTTGGAAGGAAGTTGGGGGAGGAGTGGTATGGTAATCATTTTAGCGTTGTACCAGTCAGTGGTGGAGAAGCAAGAGGCAATCTTGATGCGACAAATTGGTCACCTATCAACACTAAGGGAGAAGTCGTGGCCAGCGGTGGGAATATGGACTTGTCCTCTTCCTAGGATGCTCATTATCAGGCCATGCAGAGCCGCGATAAAATGCCCGAGGTGGAGACGGAGTTGAATTCCATGTATCTCACCTTTGAAGAGGATATAGCAGCCGTTCAGGTAGGGTTTATAACTCGTCGTTGTTTTTGTTGTTGTATATGTTGTTGTATATGTTGTTGTTGTATATGTTGTTGTATATGTTGTTGTTGTATATGTTGTTGTATATGTTGTTGTTGTTGTTGTTGTTGTTGTTGTATATGTTGTTGTTGTATATGTTGTTATTGCTGTTGTTGTTGTTATTGTCGTTTGCCTCAGGCGCTCATAGAAGAAGGCCGAAAGCTGGGTGAAGCGGACTATGCAGAGCGACGTTTCTACCCCTCCAGTGGTGAGGACTCTGAGGTCGACTTTGACTCATCTCGGAAGGAAACTTCTACGGCGTGAGATAGTTACTAATGTAAATTGATTTCATACCAAAAGGAGTTGATGATGTTTTAACGCTGAGACTATCGTATATTTGATGTTTATAGTTGTGATCAAGTGAAAAAGTTGTGTTCGGTAGTAGTTACTCGGGAACAGTGTAGGGATATATGTTTGCTTCCCTCAGCTGCTGAGCTCGGGGGTTGCCACACTACTCATAGGAGAAATCAACAAGAAATTTTTCTCCAGAATTTTCATATTATCACCAACTCATGTAGTTGACCATGTGCATATCTTCTCGAACTGATCGGTTGTTGGTGCCGAGCCATGTGGGAAAATTTTACACATGCTCGACGACGTGTGATTGTGAGAATATAAAAAATTTTCAGTAAATTTTTGGGAAGTTCTGCCGAGTCTTTTTATTCGTACGAGCTCTGGTAGAAGGGTGCAGAAATTAAGAAAAATTTCCAAAAATTTCCTCAGAATTTTCATAGATCCGTAGCTGACCATGTGCTGAGTTATGGTACAGAAATTTTTCGCGTTATTATAAGGAACTTAGCATAGGCAATACCAAGCTCCCATTAGCTGGAATTTTACGATTTGCTACTAGTGAAGACTGAAGTGAGGGAGTTCCTCACGAGAGTGGTATAATTCGTCCCATTCGGCGGTCAGGGTAGACAGCTGGGTGGTGATTGAGGAGGATAGTAGTGAAGTATAGTATTATCCTCGTATAGTAACTATAGCGATACACTCGTGTGACTGTTTCCTGCTGATATCGATTTGAGTGTAGTGGGGGAGTTCCTCATCACGAGAGTAGTATAATTCATATCATCATGCCCCCATTGGCCCCTCCTCTTGGGCCCATTAGGATTCTGCCGGCTATGCTATGCCGCTCCTCAACAGTCCTTATAACTCGAACCACAATACCCTCAATATCTCATCGAGGCTTCTTTAGTAGTGGTAGTAGTGATGACGAAAAGGGTGGTGGTCGCCGTCAAGCAGTTTTCAGAGGTAGTGTAGGGGGAATATCCACATGGTCAACTACATGTGTTGGTGACAATACGAAAATTCTTATTGGTTTTTCGTATACTTCTATTAGAATTTGTACTCCTGAACTCAGCTGAAGAGAGGAAATATATATTCCAACAGTGGAACTTGAGAAAGGCTTGGATGGCTTTACCACTCAGTGTGTGTGGAAAGTTATGGGGGGGGGCGCCGCTCTGTTGTTGCAGTAGTTGTTGTTCATGAGTTCACGGGTGGCAAATGTGTAGGAAAATTATGGGATGAACTCCCGAGCGAGCTGGATGGCTAGTCCTATTGAGGAACACGTGCTACTCAAGAATATAGCCTTGGTTTCGTTTTGAAACATCACATTTTAGAAAATTATAGCCAAATCTGTTTTCGTGCATTTTCTGCAACCCAACACAGCGCTGTTGAGTCGTTATTGGTAGGTATAAGAAATTGGCTCAGCGGCAATAGGAAACCAACAGGTAGTATTAGTTCCAAAGCTAAGCTCAAAAGGTTCCCTATTAGAGTCCCCACCAGTTAAGGACGATGATGGAGCTACTTCTGGTGTGGAGGAGTTGCTGGAGGAACGGTATGGCGTAGCTCCACCCAGTAGTCCTGAGGAAGAGCAGAGCATGATCAGCGGCAAAGGTGGGTTGGTGTTGATGGAGTTACATACGTCATATGAAAAATACATGTTGCGAAAAACGCATGTGAGCAGTGAATAACGAGATTTGGGCACGAGTGGCAATTGTGTAGGAAAATTATGGGATGAACTCCCGAAGTGAGCTGGATGGCTAGTCCTATTGAGGAGAGCGTGTTGATTAGGAATATAGCCTTGGTTTTGTTTTACTACACTTCGTTAAAAAATTATAGTCAAAGTCGTTTTGAATTCATATCACATCGCCGTATCACACCACTTCACGTAAAACGGGTGAAAGTCCAACATCGTCATTGAGTTCGTTTTAGGTAGGCTCCCCTCGAAAGACTCTAAAGGGCAGACCTCTGAGGACCTTCCTAAAGTTGTCTGTTTGCCGCTGCAACGACGCCCCCTCTTCCCAGGGCAAGCCGCAGCATTGCAGATTACCAACCCAGAGGTGAGTTATAAAAGACAACCCTCAAAATTCAATTCCAATAAGCTCAGTTTTCATGCTATGAGTTAACTCGCTATAGATATCAGTGTTGGTGGAATATATATTTGGTTTCCTCACCTGCTGAGCTCGGGAGTTTCCAAAGCTAATTATAGGAGTTCATATACGAATTGTACAGAAACCTATGAGAATTTCCTCTCGGAATTTTCATATGTCATCAACACATGTAGTAGCCCATATGCATATTTTCCTACACTGATAAATATAATTGTGATTTCATCGTATTGATTCTGGACTCAACAGCGTGCTCACCAGAATGAGACTGTAGTCGACTTTAGAGCACATAGTATGCTGATTGAATTTGCGTCATCTTCAATGAGGAGTGGTATGATGTTATTATTCTCAGACCCAAACAGCGATACTCGAGATGTGGACGAGCCATCCTGGGCATTCCTATGTCGGAGTATTCCTACGTAACAAGCCTCTTGCCACAGCTGAAGGGGACGAGGAAGATTTGGAAGGTGGGACTTTTCGACTACATCTTCCGTGGAAATTTCTGTTTTTTCACCAGATGGTGACACGGTGATGTTGCCGTCACCAAAGTCATCACTGGCACGATCGTCTCGATCGAAGAAGGCTCCTAATGGTGGTAAAAGGGCCGACTCTGAAGATAACGAAGGTCGGTTTTAGGGAAGATCTGTGTTAATCTCATATCGCGAAAAAGTTATATATGTCTACATTTGGTATATTTCACTAGATGAACTACTCTCGCGTGAAAAATAGTACTTCATGGAGTTTCACCCCCTTTTTTTCCTACGTGAAGTGGCGTAATATTTTATGCAAATCATAAGTAGTATATGTTTCAGTGATCGATAACAGTGTTAGTTTTCCGGAAATTTTCACATCACGAGTGAAACTTCATTGAATTGAATCGATCTTCGTAGGTACAGAAGTTCCCAAGGGTGATAAGAGGCTTGTAGGGTCCCGAGATGTTGTCACCGACCCGACTACTGAGCTACACCATGTTGGCTGCTATGCTCGCATACAACAAGTATTCCATTTTAGACAAAAAGATGTCCTTCATGTTTTCCTATCGGGTAAGGGTCAACTGATATGTGGATGAATGTATGTTCGAGCTCACGAGTTTCCTCAACCTACTGAGCAGCATATACATAAATTCGGTTAGAAGTGTACATGGAATAACAAAAATTTCCCAAAATTTTTATGATAATTTTCATCACAACCAGTACATGAAGTTAACCATGTATTTTTCAGCAATTTTAGGAGTTTCCTCATCAATTCTAGAAGTTTATATGCAAATTCGGGTAGAAGTGTACAGAAATCGAAAATAATTCCCCAAAATTTCCATATTACTACCAAATTTTCCCGAATTGATTATTCGTTGTTGCAGGTCGGCATCGAATTTTATTGGAGTCTACGTCGGTCTGTGGCCCTCCTACTGAGGTTAACGTCACGCACGTGTTGGATGAGGAAGGGGAGCTGGCGGAGGAAGCGGCTCAGCTATCAAAGGCTTTGGTGAGTGTTGGAGGAAATTATGGTTAACTTTATCAGTTATTATAGCAGTTTACATGTGAATTTGGATAGCAGTGCAGAGAAAGTGGGATAATTTTCTGAGAAATTTCCGCAAAGTTTTCACATTGTCACCAACATATGTAGTTGACCATCGATCTCAGTAGAAGTGTACAGAAACCGGAAAAAAAATTCCGAAAATTCCTCGCAGAATTTTCAATTTGTCACCAACATATGTATAGTGAACTATGTATATATTTTTCCCACTGGTTTGAAGACTTTACCAAATTTGGGTTTTCATTTGCACAGCAACTTCCTCGACAATTGATTAGTTTGGTTATGCTCCTAGAAGTAGGAGATGCACTGTAACCAAAGGGCTAGAGGGTGGTTCCGCATGGTGTGGTATGAGAATGTTCTTTTTCTGTCAGATACAGGAGACCCTGTCGGTGATACGACAGATAGCAGCAGTGAATCAATGGTTTAAGGAGCAAATTGACAGTATGCAAACCAGTATGGAGTTTTCTATCACGCCTAAGGATCTCGGTGAGTTCTTCTCTTTAAGAGTGTTCATAACTTTACCTTTTCACCTCAAGTGGAAATAGTGGGATCTCAATCTTAACCTATAGTCAGACATTCAAATTCAGCCAACTTCAAATTCGAACGAAGTATTGATATGAAGTTAGGGAAATTCTATTGGAAAATATTCAATTCCGATTTTGAGATTATTAAAAATACCCAATTTCGAATTAAATTGATCGGTAGTTGCCATCAGAATTTGAAAAAATCCAGACCCCAATTTTAAAACATAAAATTCATGTAAAAAAACGTCAAATTTAAAATTATTAATGGAGGACGCCATTTTTAACGTTGAAGTCCTACTACTTACAACTTGAGGTGTGGGTCAGTTCCATCAGAAAAACTCGCGAGAGTATTATTGGTGACGAAACTCGCGAAATATCTAGAATCCATTCATAAAGCGGAATTGCCATTTGTTGTGACTACCTCCCTGTATTGTAAATTGGGTGATTTCCCTGCTGCCTTACTTAGGGAAGAAGGTCTAGTTGCACGCATGCGTTCGGGTTTATATTTTGGAATCTTTTTACGAAAATTTACACGTGTTGCGAATCGTGAACTACTCATACAAGGAGAGTAGTTTAGTATCATATAAATATTACTAGACTATGGTAGCTTAGTGTAGTAGTACTAGATCAAAATATCTGCGAGGACCTCCCCTATTTCGTAGTAGCTGAATATTGCACATCTCAGCCGCTAGACTGCCAGCCTTAGGCAAGTTCACATTTTCCAAATGACTTGGTATTTTCTCAGGTCGATTGGCTGATCTGGGTTCAGCGATGGTGAATGCAGATCCTGTCGAACTGCAGACAGTAAGGGGTATATCATCTTGTGATGTGTAGGAAGTGTGGTAGGTTATGGACACCATTGAACCGGCCGACAGACTTCAGCATGCACTTCTCTTACTCCGGAAAGAACTAGAAGTTGCTAGTCTACAGCAAAACATACAAAAACAAGTCGGTCGTCGGTGAGGAATTATACGAGGTATATTGCTTCTTGGTAGATGGATGAGAAAATGCAGTCGTTGAATAGAGAGTTCCTATTGAAACAACAGTTGAAAGTTATCAAAAAGGAACTAGGCTTGGAAAAAGACGATAAAGAGGTAAACTCACACTGGTCGCTTTCTTTGTAGTAGAGTCGTGCTTTGAACCTGTTATACACAGTGTTGGAGGAATATAAATTTGCTTTCCTCAGTTGAGCTTAGGAGTTTCCTTATAGAAGTTTATATACGAACTTGCTAAGAAGTTCACAAAAACGTAAAAAAAAATCCCAAAATTTCTTTTCGGAATTTTTATTTTTCATCAACGTATGTAGTTTGCCATGTGCATATTTTCCCACATAGTTTTTATGTGCAAAGTACGAGTTGGTATAGAATGTTCTCGAGGAGTCTACTGTAAGTCTTAGATACGAAGGGAAAAGCAGTGTTGGGACATTTGTTTGGTTTTCCTCAAATGAGCTCAGGAGCTTATTGTGAATCAGATTGTATGAAAAAATAAAGAAAAATCTCTCAAAATTACCCCGGTGCACATGTCATCGATATGCACATTTTTCCCCTACTTTAAAAAGCAACTTTTATTTCAGGCCGTTTTAGAGCGCTTTCGAGAGGCCTTAAAGGGGAAGACGGTAAGCGGCGTATTACCTTCCTGAAGGATGGATGTAATTTACAAGGTACCGAAAGACGTTCAAACGACCATCGACGCTGAAATGAACAAGTTGTCATTTTTGGAGCAGAACAGTTCTGAATTTAATATCACCAGGAGTTACCTAGAATGGCTGACGAGCTTGCCTTGGGGGATTTACAGCGAGGTGAGATGTTGATAGCAATTGTTGTGATGCAGAGTAGGATGAAAGTGAATTTCATGATATTCAGTAGTGTGGAAAAAATATGCACATGGTCAACAACATGTGTTGGTGACAATATGAAAATTCTGTTGGTTTGTGTTTACTTCTACCCGAATTCATAAGTAATTTTGTATAATTGCTGGGGAAACTCCTCCTGAGCTCAGCTGAGGAAAGTAAACATATATTCCTATTCCAACGCTGATATTCAGTGAAGTTATATCTCACATACTTCATGATATTAGTGATACAAATTTGATAGGAGTTATATGAAAAACACTAGTGAAAAATATATTTCACGACTACTACAGGCCGCGAATATCGCGTTTTTCACCGAGTTTTACGATGCCACTTCACGTAAAACGGGTTGTGAAACTCGAATATGTCAAAATAGAGGAAATGAAATTTTATATACGCCTATCACTACCGAGTAACTTTCGTGAGCAAGCTTACCTCTGGTGTGATATGCTTGTATTGGGAGAACTTGTACAGTTCGCTGAAGTGGGAGTGGGCAAAGCTCTAACCTCAGCATGCTACACCCCAATGGGAAGAAAGCACGCTGAGGAGGGTTGGAGATCCCATCGCTTCTGACTGAGGTTCAATCATTGAAACGTGAATTGTATAAAAACGCAATGGTCATCCACATGTGTTGGTGACAATGTGAAAATTGTGAGGAAATTTTCTGTTGGTTTTTGAATATTTTTCTACCCGAAATCGTGTGCAAACTCCTATAATTAGCTTTGGAAACTCCTCAGCTCAGCAGCTGAGGAAAGCGAACATATATTCCTCTAACACTGCATCGGGTAGTGCATAGCCTCGGCGTATCAGGACTGTAACGATGTATATATATGTTATAGTATCCTATTTTCCCTTTAGTTGGGTATGCTGTTTTTCAGGATAATTTTAATATTGCCCGAGCTTCGGAGGTCCTCGATGAAGATCATTACGGCTTGAAGGATGTGAAGGAGCGTATATTGGAGTTTATCGCTGTTGGGAAATTAAAAGGTAACTTCACGCGTTTTACGTGAAGCGGCGAAATATTCTGTGAAAAACGCGATATTCGCGGTGATATGCAGTAGTCGTGAAATATATTTTCACTAGTGTTTTTCATATCACTAGGGTGGAACTTTATTGATAATGTTCGAATTGAAAGATTCAGAATAGGTTCACTTCACGGCAAGATACTTTGCTTGGTTGGGCCGCCAGGTGTAGGGAAGACGAGTGTTGGTAAGAGTATTGCACGCAGTATTAATAGGGAGTTTTACAGGTGAGTTGAAATTCAGTAGAGTTTCACCTGTTTTACGTGAAGTGGCGTAATACCCGGTGTGAAAAACGCGTTTTGAAGTGAAGTGAAAGCACTGTACTACGTAATTACGCCGTATCATGTTTTGAAACACATCACTTTGTTGACGCGTTATTTACCACTCAGGCGTAAAACTCGTCGTGAAAAACGCGATATTCGCGGTGATATGCAGTAGTCGTGAAATATGTTTTTCACTAGTGTTTTTCATATCACGGCGGCCCGTGAAACTCCTATGTATTCCTAGTCATGTGGAAAATTCTAAAAAAAATATTGTAGATTCCCCTGGTCGTATACTACTACTCTCAGATTCTCGGTAGGAGGGCTCTCAGATGTTGCCGAAATAAAAGGTCATCGACGTACTTACGTTGGAGCTATGCCCGGGAAAATCATACAGTGTTTAAAGAAAGCGAAGACGCAGAACCCTCTGGTTCTTATTGACGAGGTTAGCATTCGGTTGGGAGAGTTTTATGGATACCATCAAGAATTGTTGTTGTTCATGCGTGCAGCGGACCGCACCACGCGGCACGCAAACACATAGCTTTTCCCATTTTTCATAGAGCGAGGTATAACACTTCGTGGAGATTACCTAAGTATCACAGCCACTCTCAATGTCATCACCGAGGCCAGCTTCCAACTTGTGCATATTCGTGAAATTTGTCTTTCAACTCGCTGAGAATCTCGCCAGCTCACGTATAGAGTGTGTTTGATCGTGAGAGTACAAGATTTCTAATAAACTATTTTGGACGTTTTGGACTAGTAAAATCGAACACATTGGAGTTTCAGCCGCGATATGAAAAACAAAAGTGAAAAACGTATTTCACACCTTCAACTTGGCGAAAAAAACTAGTGCCAGCGGTGAATAACGCGTAAAACACGTGGAATGCTGCGAGTATTTCACGCCAAGTGGGGTGATCTGATCGGTGTTATTCGCGAAGTAGTAGTAGTAGTAGTAGTAGTAGTAGTAGTAGTAGTTGTTGTTGTTGTTGTTGTTGTTGCTGCTTTCACTGCGATGATTTGATCAGATAGATAAATTGGGTCGAGCGTCGCACCAAGGGGATCCTGCATCGGCATTGTTGGAGGTTCTCGACCCTAATCAGAACGATAGCTTTACTGATCATTATATGGATGTGAGTTGCCGAGTTGATGGTATGTAAAGAAGTGTTGTATTTGATCTGTCAGGTACCTGTTGATTTGTCGAAGTGTTGTTCGTGTGTACTGCTAATCAACTTGATACTGTACCGGGTGAGTTTACAT